TTATTTTTTTTTCGCGGCATTGTGCCTTTTTTTTTTTTTTTTTTTCTTTTTTTCTTTTTTATTTTTTTTTTTTTTTTTTTTTTTTTTTTTGTTTTTTTTTTTTTTTTTTTTTTATTCTCGTGGCCAGCCGCGGCCTCGCAGTGTTTTTTTTCTGCGTAGTTTTTCGCCCGCCGGAGCCTTCTTTTCAACGGGCCCCTCCGGCTGCGCCTCGCACTCCCTGCAAGTTCCGCAGCACAGAGCGCGTGAATTCGCGGCGCGTCACTGAGGCAGACGCCCTCCAGTGCGCGCCGTCGCGCGGGGCGCGGTGCCGGGGACTCCCTCGCGCCCTCCCGCCCAGTGCCCCTCTGGCCGCCTTGCGCCTGCGCGCCGCCGCCCTAGACGGTCGGCCCGGCCAGATGAAAACAGGCATCCATGGGACGGCGTAATTTCCCAACCCATTTTGCACCAAGTGCTGTCATCAACGGGCCCATCCCAAACGAGTGATGATATGGTGGCAGGGCGCGCGATTCCTTGTCAGAGGTGCAAGAGGGGTGGCTACGCGCTGACGCCTCATGAGGCCGACATGAAGCAGCACCGAATGATAGGAAGTGGATGGGGGAACGGCTGAAGGACGGCGACTGAAAACATAAGGGGTGTCCTGAGAGCAGGGCGAAGGCGGAAACGAGGACAGGTGACGGTTGCGCAATTGGCAGCACCCAGAAAGGCAGGGTGTATCATGTATCAGGGTGGGGCCGCAGTCCGCTGGAACACCCGCGAGCTCGGGAAACAGTTGCGTTCCTGACAGCTCCAACGGAGGCGAGGGTGATGCATGTGGATCCCCGCAAAGCCGCAGTCCGCGGGACCTCCCAGGAGCTCTCAGGAGCTCACAGGCCCCGACGGGATCCTAATGATGTTCGGCTGGACGGGAGAGTTTCGGGAATTCTTCAGGCACCCTGAAGGGCCCCCTAGGCATCCTGAGGATGCCTCGAGGGCGTGCAGGGTTCCGCAGGAATCCTTTGGTGCCCTCATGGATCGCCAGGCACCGTCAGGTTTTGTCAGAGATCCCCAGGATTTCTCTGGGCCACCCAGGGGTTACTCAGTGGTCAGCAGGAGTCGTCGGGATTCCAGGGGGATGCTCGGGGGTCTTCACGAATTTGGAGGTTTCTCGATGGCTCCTCGCAACTTGTCAGGCACGTTCAGGAAATTGCATCGTAGCGCCCAGGATCGCGTGCCGTAGGTCTTGGGGGCTCGAGTCGTAGGTGGACGGTGTTCGTGTAGTACGCCCCAGGGTCCAGCGTCGCAGGCCTGGGGGGCTCGCGTCGCAGTTTCCAGGGCGCAGCACCGCGGGGTCCAGGGACTCGCGTATTAGACCCCAAGGGTCGCCGCGAGCCGAAGAAACATTCTGGACATCATCGGCGCGCTCGTCTTGAAAGTTTCTCGCGAGATCCCCCGCAATGGCCTTCCGGCCCTCATCGTTGTTCCCTCGTTCTCCTCTTTCCCGCCAATCCTTGATCGGCGGCGCATGCGACGTTAAAGCTACACGACATGGCGAACGGCAGATTCTCTGACGTGGACAACATTCCTACGCAAGGGGCGCCTTGGACATTCCTTTCCGAAAGCACAAGTGGCAATGTTGGTCGTTCCTTAACAGTTCTCTGTCCAAGAATTGATCAGGGATGTTCAACATGGCCACTTGTTTTTTTTTGTTGTATTGGGGTTGATCATCATGCAACCAACCAAGAGCCCATGCTTGCGCAATCGGCGGCACTCATGAGGGCAAGGTGTATTTTGGATCAATCAGTTGGACCCCTGTAGGGCCGCACTCCGTTGGACCTCCCTGGAACCTACGAAAGAGCCCACCGTTGCAACTGGTACAACCCGCCGTGGCGAGTTTTACTTTGGATGTTTGTGGGCCGTCACTACGCTTGACCTCCGCCGAGCTGACGAATCAGCCCACCTTTGCGCAATTGGCAGCATCCAGGGAGCAGGCAGAGCGAGGGAGGGGACTCGGGATCCCCCCACACATGCATACTCACAAATTACGCACACATATACATATATATATATATATATGTATATGTATGTGTAGATATTCATATGTTTATGTACACATATTCGTATATGTATTTGTATACGTGTATATGTGTACGTATGTGTGTACGCATGTGTATATGTATATGTATATAAGTATGACTATTTATATGTATAACTATATGGCAATGAATAGGTGTATCTACATGCATGTATGCTTGTAAATGTAGGTATACATGTATATCCATATGCGTACTCTATGATTTGTGTATGTGTCTCTGCTTTGTATATGTGTGTGCCCATGTATATGTATATGTATATATATATATATATATATGTATGTGTATGTGTATATATATGTGTATATATATGTAACTGTATTCGTATATGCATGTCCACAGGTAAACGTATTTGCAATTTGCTGTGTGAATGTACATGTATATGTCTCTGTCGGTATATAGGTATAGGCATCTGTACCTGCATCAACATACGCATATACATATGCACATGTATGTTCACATGTCTATGTACTTGTCAACATACATGTATAACCATATGCATATCTATATATATACATTTGTATGTGTACATGTAGATGAAACTGTAATGCTTATGTACATGTATAAGTTTACGTATCTTTGTAGGTAGGTGTATATGTTCGCGTGTATGATTTCCATACATATAATATTTACATATATATATATATATATATATATATATATTTATATGCATATATATATATATGTATATATATGTGTGTCCGTGTGCATGCACACGCGTATGTGTTTTTACATGAAAATATCAATACGCATGTGTAGTTATTTGATTACATACTTATGACGGTATATCCGTGAGGACTTTGCTCCTTGCTGCTGGCCCCCTCTTTATCATAATTTGATATATCAGAGTCGCGTCGGTGAGTTTCGGCGCTGCCTTGGCGCACTTGGGAACATCATGCGGGGGATATGAACCATCAGCGCATATTGAGACGTTGGCGTTATCCTAGTTGCCTGTCGGCCCATCCCGCCACCGTGCCTGGGTTGTGGATCTGAGGCCTCTTGTACATGTGTTTGGGTGTCTTGGGGAGCCTCTCGGGGGCCTCTTGGAGACGGTCTGGGCGCCTCTTTGGGGCCTCGTGGGGCTTCGTGGGGTATCTTTTGGGCCTCCAGGAGGCCTCTTGGGCGGGACTTGTGCGCCTCTTGGGGCCTCTTGGGGCCCTTTGGCGGCCTCTAGGGGCCTCCTGGGGGCTTCTCGGGGCAAAACTATTGAATGTTCGGTTCGTGGTCCCCTGCTTGGGCCCCTCTTGGGGCCGTCTTGGGGCCCCCTTGGGCCGTCTTCAGCGCTTCTTGGGACATTTTGGTGCCCTCTTGGGCCGTCTTGGGGCCGTCGTGGATGCCTCTTGGTCTGTCTTGGGGCGGTCTTGGGAGCTTCTTGAGCCGTCTCAGAGCGTCGGAAAGCAGAAAATGCGGAAGGCCCGAATCCTTCAACAACCTTCGTACGATCTACGTTTTTCGCCTCTCGGGGCTCTCTCGGGAGGCCTCTTGAGTGCTCTTGGGGCCGCTTGGGGCCCTCTTGTGCCGTGCTGGAACCATTTTCGGGCGCTTTGGAGCACTCTTGGCCTCGGCAATGCGAATACGGTGTAATCTGCATAAAGGTTTATGGCTTGGGGGCCGCGAACATTGTAATTTTCTTGGGATTCTGGCCTCGGGGGCGCAATAGTTGTGTAATTCACAAGGTTCGTGGCCTCGGGGAGGCGAGCACTCTATTACTTACCGGTGTAATTTAAAAGGTTCGTGGCCTCGGGGACGCGAGCCTTGTATGATTTATTGGGGATTATGGCTTCGGGGGCGCGAATATCAAGTATTTTTATCTGTCCCACGGGCCCCTTGGAATTCAGAGCACGCGATCGGGGCGTGGTAACCAGGCGGTTTGGGGCTCCCCCCCTCGCGCGCACTTCAACAGTTTACAGTAGGAAGCAGAAAGCAGGAGTGTAACATTGGAGACTTGAAAGTACAACTGGTGCCCGGAGCAGCAACCTCGTTCTACAACCTGGTGGCGCCACAGGGGGACCGGCGAGTGTATATATATATATATATATGTGTGTATATATATATATATATATATATATTCACACGACAGAAAAAGACAGAGAGAGAGAGAAACAACAATGAACAAAAAACACAGACACACACAACACGGTGAGAAAGGATATGGGCGGGAAGGAGGAAGGAGGAGCAGCACGTTCCCTATCCAAGGCGAGGGCCCAACCACAGGAGGGTCGGGGAAAAATGCACCAGGAACTTTGAAGGTGCCTCCTCCAGAGAAGCCTCCCTCGGGCGTCCACACACTGCAGGTGCCTTCAGCGGGTCTCCAGGGAGCTCCCAGGAAGTGTCCGGGGTCTTCCATGGAGGTCTCCAGGGCCGTCGAAAGGCCTCTGTGAGCTTCCAGCCTCTGGGCTTCTCCAGGGTGTTTCCGAGGAGGTCGGCTCTTCTAGAAGGGGTAGCGCAGACCCCTTCCAAGCGCGATACGCAATCCCCTGTCCTGCGGAAGCGCTCTCGCGCGGTTCACGCAGAAGCTAGCCGCCCCGCGTGCCCTGGAGCACCCCAAGGGCGTGTGTGTGTGTGTGTGTGTGTGTGTGTGTGTGGACCTGCGGGCGTGTGTGTGTGTGTGTGTGTGTGTGTGTGTGTGTGTGTGTGTGTGTGTGTGTGTGTGTGTGTGTGTGTGTGTGTGTGTGTGTGTGTGTGTGTGTGTGTGTGTGTGTGTGTGTGCAGCGGACCTATACGTAGCAGCGCTCGTAGAGTGTGCAGCCTTACTTGCACAGTGCGCCTAGCATAAGTTGGAGGGGCCTGGTTGTGATGTGTCGACCTGGCACCATCCGCGCGTCATTCTATTCTTGGCTACTGCCTAAAAGACATTGTAGCTCTTACTCGGTGCGGTGAAATCGAGGACTGCCCCGGTGCAAGCGCCTGGTGAAAATCATTCGCAGCCTGGGTTCGGGGACACACTTAATCGCACTCCTGCAGCGCGAAGGAGTGAACACTTAGCTCTTGCTACGCTAGGCTCGCTGGAGCTTACGTGACGTGGGTGGAAGTGGATAGGTGTGCGGTGCATGGAAGAGCTCACATGTAGCGAACACAGCTGTCAGCGAGTATATTCTGACTCGTCCCGATCACCAGTGTGGGGAGCGTTTGAGCTGCTCCTTCATCCCTTGCACCCTCTGTTCCCTTCTTGCTTGCATTCTCCCTTTGCCACCGTGTCCCCCTCCCCTTTCGTGGTCCACATCGACTGCGGGTGGGCCGCTGGACTCGCGCAGAGGCAGTGCTGGAGTCGCGGTCAACGGCAGGCATCCACCCGGCCGTGCACGGGGCGATGATGAACCAGGCGAAGCACTGGCAGGACGGGGGCGTAGAGCGATGTCTGTCGGCGGGGGCTGTCGTAAGCTCTGGATGCTGTTTTTGACCATGGGGTATCGGGTTGGCGCATTTTTTCCCAGCGCAATTGGCAGGGCGGGCTATGGTCTCCCCCCCAAGCAAAGCGCGCTCTTGCCTCGCTGCTTGACCGCTTGCCGCGGGCGCTTGCAACATGGGACGGGTATCGAGGATAACCGGCTTGAAGAGGAGGAGGAGGAAGAGGAGGAGGAGGAGGCGGAGCATGAGGAGGAGGAGGAGGAGGAGGATGAGGAGGAGGAGGAGTAGGAGGAGGAGGAGGATGAGGAGGAGGAGCAGGGTAGGACCTCCCGCCCTGTGCGCCGCGCTAGGGTAACGATCACCTTGTGTGGGGAATAGGCACCTTGCGCCATTTGGCCACTACCAATGTAAAGCAAGAGGTGCCGTCGTGTGGGCGCGCGCGAAAGAGTGTGTAAGACGAGCCATGAGAGCATCCAGCTGAACAGACGCGCATCCAGAAGGTTCTGCGCAGCCTAGATCAACAGAAAGTGCAGAAGGAGGATTATCAGGATTCCCGCCGTCACAAGAGTGATATCATGCTAGAAGCTCAGTGCACTTTGGGAATTACATCGCAATACATTCGATCTACATTCTCGGTTTCTGTCAGGCTCGCATCTGGGAAATTTGCTATGTCAGGCTCCCCGAGACCCTGAGCTGGGCCTCGCCGAAGAAGCCACACTTCCCGCAGGGTCGAATTCCAATCGTATGAGGGAAGGGTCCGATACGCAAACACAGCATACGGAGTAGTCAAAGCAATCTGTCATTAACGGTCTCCAGAGGCGAGACATATTTTTCTATCCAGATACTTTTACGCTGATGACTTGCAGTCGCGACCAAATGCCCATTCCCGGCCCCGACATGCGAAGCCGCGAAGCGTGCAAGAGTCCGAGGGGCGGGAGGGGGAGGGGACCCTGTCCGCCCGCGCTCCGTCGAGCCCTGCTCGGCCCCGACCATCGAGGATCGAGGTTCGAGGATCGAGGTTTTCGGGCTTTGGGTTTCGAGGAGCCTCAAGAGGCCTCCAGGGGTTTCCACGGTGACCGTCAGGGGCCTCTACTATGGGATCGTCGGGCTGACTCTTCCCTCGTCGTTGTCGTCGTCGTCGTCGTTGTCGTCGTCGTCGTCGTCGCCGTCGCCGTCGCCGTCGCCGTCGCCGTCGCCGTCGCCGTCGCCGTCGCCGTCGCCGTCGCCGTCGTCGTCGTCGTCGTCGTCGTCGTCGTCGTCGTCGTCGTCGTCGTCGTCGTAGGCGTCGTCGTCGCCATGGTCAGCGCCCTCGTCGTCCTCGGCCGCCGCCCCAGGAGCACCTCGGCCAGCCCGGCCCGGAGGGCCCGCTGGAAGACCCGAGCGGCGGCGGGCGCGATTAAAGTGGCGGAGGGTTGTCCACTATGCATTATACCCCGAGTTCCACAACAAGCGCCAGGGGGACGTTATCGCCACCGACAGCCTCAAACCGATCCCCGTCGCCAGCAACCACCGCGTGCCGAAGGAGCTTCAGCACACGGCGCGGTGTGCTGACGAGGCGAGGTTGACCCCCGTGGGGTGGTGACCCCCCCACGCTTATAATCAAACGTAGTGTATGATTTTGTTCGGTACCCGAGCGCCCCGTCAGGGTTGCCCGTGCGTTTGCTTGTTTACTGTTGCTGCTGCTGCTGCTCCTCTTCCTCCTGTTTCCCGTCGCAGGCGAGTACGCGGCCGCCGAGTTCCGGGAGTGGGCCACGCAGAGTGCGGAGGACGCCTCCGCTTCCAGCCTTCCTTGCTTGCGAGTTTGGGCTGACCTCCCTCTATCCTGCCCCCTGCTCAGGGGCAACGTTGGGGCTCAGCGGGGGACGCATCGACCCCTGATCCATTGATCGCCGATAGGGTCCCGATAGCCCACCCCGCCCAGAAACGTACGGATCTGCGATCAAGGGCCCATCGCCGACCTATCGGTGATGCATCGCCGATTCCAAGTCGATATCCTCCCGCACCTCTCTGAGCCAATCACCCCCTAACGCTCCCTGTGCCCCCTCCCCTCTTTCTATTTCATGCCCGCTGGGGCACCCTGCCCCACCGCGGGCGGCCAGGGCGCAAGCCTCGAACGACGCCCCCCCCCCCCCCCGCTTATACCGATGCTGCGACTGGGCGGATGGGAACGCGGGAGCACACCGTTCGGTGTTGCCGCGTTTGGGCCTCGCAATGGGCGGCCTCGCGCCGCCCTATTCCCGATGAGGAATGGCGCAACCTCCCTCCGCATACTCGGCACTTTGGGCCCCTCGAGGGAGACCCGCGTTCGCTGTTTTTGCAGGCGGCGCTCGCCAGTGACCCGCCACAGCCTCGGCCGCGGCCACTGCCCGAGCACGTGGACAACGCCGCGGGAGCGCCCGCAGCGCGGAGCGCTCGCGTGCCATGAGAATGCACGGGGCAATACTGGCTGTACGCTGCCACCAGCGGCGCGTGGAATCCCTTGTCCAGTTTTCGCGGCCGTTGGTCGATCGGCAGGGGTTTGGAAGGGGAACAGGCGCAGTCCCATGCTGCTGCCTGTATGCTGCCACTCACGTGCCAGGCGCCTGCTCCCCCGATTCTCGACGTGATCTCTTCACAACGTGGGCCCCGGGAGGTCACGACTCCTTCCCCGGAACCGGTTCTTTAGCTAGAGTTTTTGGGGCGGCGCAGGGCCCCAGCGGCCACCGTGGGCCGAGGACGACCAAAACACACATCCGTCCGCTTTTTCACGACGCCAGGGGGTCAGGGAAGGTGGAGGAGGGAGGGAGGAGGCAGTACACATCCAGGAGGACGAACACGAGGATCGGGAGGTGGATGGGGGAGAAGGAATGGGGAGGAGGAGGATGATTATGTTGGGGTGTGGAGGTGGGGGAGGAGCAGAGGCAGATTCACCCTGCCGCCTCGGCGTTTTCTTGTGTCACGAGGAGCTCTCGCTCCGCCTCGTGCCCGCGCCTCGGCCACTCGCGCTTCGCCAGGCGGCGAAGGAGCACGTGCGGCTCACCTCGCACTTCTTCGCCGAGGCGGCGGGGTGGCTCTGCTTCTGCTCCTTGCCCGCCCCCAAGCTTCAAGTCCTCCTCCTCCTCCTCCTCCTCCTCTTCCATCCTTCTTTTTTCTACATAATTCGTCCCTGTCGCACCACCAGGCGTGTCGGTGGGCTGGACCTGGCGTTTCGCTTGACACTTCGTTGCAGTCCCGACGCTGGACAATTTCAACTGTTGCACGAAATTTGTACCTCGCCCCAGCGCCGCGCACATTCGTCTTACAACTTTCCAAAACTTGCACGGGTCGGTGGTTTTCAATTTGTGGTTCTCGCCCTAGTGCCGTGCACATTCGTGTCGACAGTTTTTAACAGGATGGAGGGCCGAGCGATTTCAAATGTGGCTCTCGCCTCGGCGCCGCGCACATCCGTTCTGAAACTTATCATCGTTTTCACCGATGGAAGCTGGCACGTTTTCAACAGGTTTTTTTTTGTTTGTGGAATTCAGCTCTATGTAGGCCCCCTCTATGCTGCCAGATCGTTTCCCCGTCATGCTTTCCCCGGCCCGTTGTTGTTTGGTGTCAGGCGGGCCCAGTGAAACCTGAATTGCTTTAGGTAACGAGCGACCGGGAACTGTTTTTTCCTCTCTGATAGTGACTGCCGCCGCTCCGTGTGTGTGAATCCCCCTACTTTCCTCCTATCTTGCTCATATCCATCGCCCCTCTTGGCTCGGATGACAGGTACTCGATACTTGGAGGTACGTTGGGTAAAACCATCGTCCCTCATCGTCTACCGACGGACACTCGGGGGGTGGGGTCGGTCCATTGGTCCTCCTCACCCTCACACAGGTTATCAGCCTTCTCTTTTATATCCGACATCGCATCCAACCTGCGCCCCGACCTGACGACATCGGACTAGTTATGCGAGATGACGGCACGACACCAGTCGTCCGTCCTCCCGCATGATGAGTCGTCGCCGTCAGTCGCGCGCAACTTGGATGCTGATATGTCCGATATTCTAGGAGCTTCCCCAAATTTTGCGGCCCGCATGGCCATCTCTCCAGGAACCGACGGATTGGACGAAGCTATGCCCCCACCCAGTGCAGCGCAGTCAATGCAGCGGGAAACCGCAGCGATGCCAGCGTTGCCCACCCAGGCGGCACTTCAGCTCCACGCTATGCAAGCTGAGTTGCAACAGCTTCGTGCCTTGCATGCTCATAGCGTTTCCGCACCCCCACTTCCTATTGGAGATCAGACCCCCCTACAGCAGCGATTCTTACACGCCGCTCCAGGGCTTACGCCTCAATTCCCCACCCTTCATACCACATCTGACGTCCCTCCCGCAGCACTGCACCAGTCAGCGCGGCGGGAAACCGCTGCCCCGCCACAAACAGCGCAGCGGGCCACCGCAGCACCGTCCCAGACAGTGCAGCGGGATACCGCAGCTCCACACATGCCTACACCTTCCTCCCCTCCGAGAGAGAGAGGCACAGGCACACGACGGTGGGGCCATGGGACGCCCGAACAAACAGGGATTGAACAGGGACAGGTTTATGAGCGAGTCCGTGAATTCGAAAACCGTACTTCTGACCATGGCCCTAGTCGCCGTGCTCATTCTAAGAGCCAAGCTCCCAGGCGTGGCCCCGAACAGTACATTATTCGAGACGATCGCGGCAGTAGGAGTCCATCTATCCGGGGGGTTCGTATTAGGCCCCATAGTTCCCCAGCCGCAAACCGACATAGGGAGGCTCTGCCAATGCAAGACATGGCTGAGCTACGAGATCACGTGCACACATACGTTGAATATCAAACTAGCCTCGTCCACAAGGCTGTGGCCTCTGATACCGCCGTCCTCCGGAGTGACCTCCAACAGGGTCTTTCGATCCTGGACGCTGCCGTCCAAGAGGACCGTCGGATCATGCAACAGCTGATGCAGCGTCTCGATACACAACGAGATCGCGAGACTAACGAACTTGTGGCCGTCAAGTCCGACTTCGATCGACTTGAAGCTAGCGTCATTCAGATTCGTCAACACAACGATGAACGTGCACGCATTCTTCGCGAAGAGCTGCGAGAAGTCGCGGGCGCAGCTTCAGGCGCCTTCGGAGCGCCTTCCACCGCAATACAAGGTCATATTGCCACGATTCGTGGTGAAACGGAAGCTGCAGCACGTGAGCTGCACGATTATACACGCTCCGTTCAGCAAGATTTGTATGGCAAGTTATGTGAGGCCGAGAACGCTTTCCAAGCTCAACTCTCTTCCTGTCAGGTTCAACATGTACCACAGCTTCTATCCAGAGTCCACACTCTCGAGCAGACCGTAGCTGAGCTGCAGGTCGCACGGGCTCATACTGCGCAGGTGAGTCCCACTGCTACGGTGACCAACCCTGACGTGACGGCAGCTGTTCTACAGACCGTCCGAGCGGAGGTGGCCCACTTGCAAAGGCAGCTGCAGGATTCTGTGGCCGAGAGGGATGCCGAGTCAGCACGCGCGAATGCGCGCCTGGATCAAATGAACGCTGAGATGGCTCGTCTTGCTAACGAGAATGTTGACCTGCGTACTCTAATTGTCAATCTTACTACCCACAATAAGGATGACGTTCGATTCCTCACAGACACTCAGAAACATCAACACGCTGAATGGGAAATATTGTCTGATTGTGTCGCAAAACTGCAAGCAGACAACACCACGCTTGAGCAAACAATACAAGATCACATCGCGGACGCAGCCAAACATACACCTGATACCGGCTATCGCCGCCCCTCCCCTGACGCCGCTGTTCGCGATGCGGGGGGTTCTACTGGGGCCGCTTCCAAGCCGACACTTCCTCAGGCAGGAACTGGTGCTGACGAGCAGCGGGGAACCGCAGCCCAGCCTTCTGCCCCTGAGACAGCTGCAGACAATGCTAGCTTTCGAACACACTCTCCCATTAATATAGGTACACTCGGCTCCAACGTTGCGCAATCCCCGTATAATGCTGGCGGGTCACTACTTCCTGCCACAGTCAAAGAAAGTGACCGTGTTCGGGTCCCAGGCTTCCCTAAGATCACAGGAGTCGCCGATTGGATGAACGGAGTCCGCAAGGGTTTCAGAAACGCCTCTGGACGCCCAGCTCAGGCGTACGCCTTCATCATGGTAGCGGAGAACCCTGAGATGACTTTTGAGGATCTCGCCGACAGCGGCGACTTCGAGAGCCTCGACTGTAAGTTAGCTGACGCTCTTCTCGAGATCCTCCCACACGAGTTAAGATTGCAAATGAAGCTGTTAGAGGACGTTGAACACAAGGCCAAGCGCATGCTTAAAGGACGTCAGGTATATCAGAAGATTATCCGTTCATTTGACGTCACCGTTGCCGAGGATCACCTTCACGACTTTGATCGCATTAAGAACCTACGCACGCACGGAGACGATCTCCAACGTTTCATCGTCGAATGGGATCGATTACTATTGGCTCTTAACAAACTACCCGAGATGTACATCATGGAATCCCTCTTTCGTACTCAGGTTCAGAGACATCCTTGGATGAAAGAAGACATGAGCAAATACAACAAATCCAGGGCTGGAGCCAAAGATGAGAACGGAGAGGAAATCAAGACATACAATTGGCTCCATCAAAGAGTTTACGACGTTCTTGATTTACACAAGCTACAGAAAAATCAATACAGCATGCAAAAAGAATCGCGGGACACCGTTGCCCCTGCCAAGACTAAGACCAAACAATCAAGCCGCAACTCACATTGCGTCCCTTTCTTCAAGGGCAAAGGGTGTCCCCGTCCTGATACATGTAAGTTTTTGCACACTGCTGAAAAGAAACCGCCGCCCAGACGCCACCCGTCGTCTCGCGATCCTCCCAGGAATCGCCAATCATCTCAACATCGTAGAGACGCTCGAGGCAGCGCCTCTGGCGCGGCTACTTCGAGGCCTCCGGCTGCCAGGTATTTTTGCTACGATTTCGCAAAGGGTAATATGTGTCAGCGCACTGGTTGCAACCGGCACCACGTGCATCCTTGCGTCTTCTATCAGAAGGGCAATTGCACCAACGGGGATAGCTGCAAATTTGCCCACTATAAAAATGGCTTCAAGACGCCGCCTCGCAGCCCCAGCAGGCCCAGAAGCGAACAGAGGTTCCCCTCCCGAAGCCCAGGTGGTAGACGCTGGTCGCAGAGATCACGATCTTTCACCAGGAGTCCGGGGGGCAGGGCTTACTCCAGGAGTCCGGGGGGCAACCGTCGTTTCTCAACGAACACTCGACAGCCCTCCAAGAGCCCAGGCGGCACTCGCTGGTCCCAGAAGGACTCGCGATCGCCGTCTCGTTCGTCTCAGCGGCAAGGCCGATCACGTAGTCCAGGCGGTACAAGATGGTCTCAGAGAGATTCACGATCTGGCTCCCGTTCCAGTCGGACATCGCAGTCCAGTCAACGACAGCGCTCTCCCGCTCGGAACACCAACCGAGTGTACGTGATACGCGAGAAGATCCTCGCAGTTTCACCTACACATGGTATCTCAAAGGCCCAGATTCTCAAGACCAAACTGCCTGCGACGACATCGACACCAAAACTAAAGGTTCGCTGGAACCTTGCTGCTACCGATATCGATTTCTTCACGGTTCGACGTAAGATGAGACCGTATCGGGAGTCACCAAACAAAGGCGGTGCTGTCCACGTTCCAGATCCAATTCCCGATTGGTGGTGGATCCGTTCTCAGGCTCATCTGACACGCGCCCAGGAGAATGCATTCGCCCTCATACGGAGGCTGGACGACGACGAGGACATCCACTTCGATTATTGCTACGTCGCAATTCCGCAGGAGGACGTGCTGCTCCACACATATGCCACGGCGCAGCAGGCAACTGCAGCACCAGAGCAGCAGGAAACTGCAGCTTCGTCGCGGCAGGAAACTGCAGCCAGCGCCCCTCCAACAAAGGACACGGTAGCAATATCGCGTTCTTTCGTCCTTGATAGCGGTTCGGCACTACACATTTCAGATAAAGCCGACATGACAGAATCTGAGAAAAAGGGCATTCGCATCGGACGAGAACACATT